TACGCAGACTTGGCAACTATGCATGTGAGTGAAGTGTTGGAAGGGGACTTGGTTCAGTCCATTGGTTGTTGAGGCAAATTTGAATGATTTGAATAAATTATTTGCAGTCGATTGTAAAAAAGTGATGAGGTTTAAGTGGTCTAATGTACGGTGGCCGAGAAGTGCAAAACAAACCACAATTCTGAAAACAAAATAACAAATTACAAACGCAAATGCAAGTCTAAAAAAACAAATAACAATTCAGAAAACACAACAACAATTAAGAAAACATTATAACAAGTCAGAAAACACAATGACAAATTCGAAAACAAAATAACTCAGAAAACACAACGACAAATCAGACAAACCGGAAGAGGTAGGTATAGTTTGAGACCGCGCCATTGGTTTGGGATTACTCACCGCTGACTGGACGAGACATCTGTCAATCAACGTATACAGGAAGAACCAGCCGAAGAACAGCAGAGTCGTGGTAGAAAGTTCGGAGATGGTATTAAAGTAGCTCAGTTTAAATGTATTGTATGAATTGCCCTTACTATGGAATAAAAAATACGGGGTGTCTATTTACATTTAGTTAAAAGTGGCTGTAAATCATCAGCTCCAGTGGCGCAGATGGATAAGCGCGTGTCGTTGGCTTTTTGACGCGATCGACCCGGGTTCGATCCCGTCTTTTGCCGAACTTTTTTTTCCTCCCTTTTCAAATCTATTTTTAAGTAAAAAAATAAATAAAAATGAAACATGCATGGATGAATTGTTCACAATAAGATTAATAACATGCATTTAGAAAATAGTCTATAATAATAATTATGTTTTTTATAGATTGAATTTTCATGTTATGCTGACTTTAATATTGGTATCGATAAATATTCATATTTAAAGACACTAAGAATTTAAGACATTTTAAATGTAATCAAAATGAATATCCATTTTTAGACTGTACATCATAATGTTGTAATTCTTAAATTCACTTAGAAGTATTCAAAATAATTGATTGAAGTCTTAGATTTTGAATTTACTCAGACAAAATATAGAATTTTGATATCAGCCATTTATTGGTTATTGGCTATAACATGAAAATAATTAAATGGTTAGTTCACCCAAAAATGAAAATTCTGTCATTAATTACTCACCCTCATGTCATTCCAAACCCATAAGACCTTCGTTCACCTTTGGAAAACAAATTAAGATATTTTTGATGAAATCCGAGAGCTCATTTGTTGGTTCAGGTGCATTTAATTAAGATTTAAAGCTAAACTCTGAAGAATACTCACCCTCCAGGAGCAGGATAGGACACCCCTGGTCTCTTGCTAATCTAAACATTTATTCTAATTTCCTTTGTTTTTTGCAGGTGGCACAAACAGATGAGCGCCTCCGAGAACAGGCACAGATGGAGGAAGCACGAGTTGCCAGCCTTGAGGAGCGAGTGTCTGAGCTCTCCGAACTACTGGGTGCCTGTGAGAAGGCCAGACAGAAGGACCAACAAAACGCTCAGAGGCTACGAGAACGTATCCTTCAACTCGACACCGAGAACAAAACCCTCGCCATCAAAGCAGTCAACAGGTCAACGACTTCCGATCTAAACCTCGATGACACCAACTTGAACGTGGACGTGTTAAAGGACAAACTCGATAAGGTGAAGAAGTTACTCCTCCTGGCTGCGCAAAGATCTCAAGACCAGAGTCTGGACATTGAAAGGCTATTGGAAGGAGAAAAGAACCAGGAAGTCTCAGAGAGCGAGAAGGCTTCAGTGCTTCACTACCAACAAGAGCTCCGGCAGCTTAGGGAGGAGTTTGAGCGCTACAAAATGAGGGTGCAGGGTGTTCTGAAAAACAAGAACATGAAAGATGGCAACCAGGCCAAAGAGTTAGAAGAAGCACGTGACCAGCTGGCCGAGCTGAAGGAGAAGTACATCAACCTTCGTATCATTTCCGACGAAGCGGAAGTCCAGCACAAACGGGACCTGGAGGAGCGGCAACAAGCGCTTGTAGTGCTCCAGCAGACCCACAAACAGGAAGTCGAGAGGCTGGAGGCTCAACACAGGGAGAACTTCTTGCGGCTTGAGGAAGAGTTGCACAAACAGAGAGATCGCACCATGGCTCTTCTTGCAGAAAAAGACCTTGAGCTGGAGCGACTCCGGGCGGCAACGGTGATCGGCTTTGGTAGCCATCAGAAACACGCTACAAATAACAGCACAGCGATGGAAGGAGGTGACCCAGAGGAAGCTGATCCAGAACTAGAAGAAAGTGACATTATCGCCCAAGCTCTAAAACTAGCTGGGCCCAATGAGCCGACTTTATTGTTGTACGCCGAACAACTGGCGCGCAAGGAGGTGGAAGTGGCCGCCTTGCGCAAACAAAAGCATCGTTTAGAGGAGGACTTGCATCAGCTACAAGGAAAGCTGATTGCTAATGGGGAGAGGCATGAAGAAGAGGTCGCTGAGCTACGGTGCCAGTTGGACAAACGTATTCGGGACCAGGGGAGAGATGGGGCCAATCTTGAGTATCTCAAAAACGTCATTTATAGGTTTCTCACGCTCCACGACACCAGAGGGCGCCAGCAGACACTCACGGCCATTTTGACCATTTTGCACTTTAGTCCTCAAGAAAAACAGGCTGTGCTGAAGCAGCAACAACACAGCTGGTGGATGGCAGGGATGAGATGATGCAAATGAGTTAAGAAGAGTGACTTTACGGTTCTACTATGCTGAGATAAATATTCCTTTATTTTTATTGACCACTTTTTGTGTGCAGTGTGAGACGGTACCAAATAACAGGAGCAACAATGTGGATATGTTTCCGATAATGACATATATACTCCAGCTATTGCATGACAGGATACTAAACAGTTTATGAATGGTTTGAATCCAGTGTTGGATCATGTAACACAGTTGACCTACCATCCCAGACTTCCCTTCTGTGTGTGCAACATAATATTAGATCTTGACACTGTGTTTTTCAGTCTGTATCAACAGAGTTGGGTGCACCAAACTGTTGCTATTGATTTTGTATAATAACTGGAGACGTAACGTAACACTATTTGGTTTAGTTGAAAGGTTAACATTTACAGAATGGGTTATACCAAAGAAAATGCTCTTAAAAAGCTCCAACAGGCTTTTCAGAGGGAATCCAGCAAGTAATGCCTTCAGACAGCAGCACTTTTCATATATTGTCATGATGAAATCTATGTATATATTTAACACACAAAACTAATTCCAGGGTTTTTAATGGGAATATATCAGAAATTACAAAATAAATTTAAAATCAAAAGTTGCTTTGAGTTTGTAAACATATAGCAGTTTGTATTTAACTTAAGAAGGATGTGAGCGACTTTATTATAGTTTTTATGGATAGAATTTGGTTGGCTCTGTTTTTCCCTGACATTTGATGGCTACACTGTTTTTCCTTTATCTAAGCTGAATATACATTATGCTTTTTTGAGAAAACTAATTACAGATCATTTTCACAGTTGTCTTGGTTTGTCTTGTAAGTAAATTTTATCAGTCAGTCAGGTAAATGTATATTTTCAATCTTGACCAATAAAAATAAAAATATTGGTTGGAATAATTATATGGCAACTATAATAAAAAAAGAAAACCTGGCAAATTGTTTTCTCTCTAATACTTCATGTTCAGATAATTATTATTATTATAAAAACTACAGTATGTTAAAAACAAACTATTTTGCTCTCTTCAGCATTTTATTTTATATATTATTATGATATATTTAAAAACATTTAATCTTCAGATTATGATTTGTAAAATCCATCACTCCACTGCATAAGCAACTTTTTAACAATAAAAATATTGGTTGGAATAATTATATGGCAACTATAATAAAAAAAGAAAACCTGGCAAATTGTTTTCTCTCTAATACTTCATGTTCAGATAATTATTATTATTATAAAAACTACAGTATGTTAAAGAATCTGCAATGTGAGGACTTGTTATTAGAAAGGTAGGTGCTCCGTGCATAATTTAAGACAGTGGCTGAATTTGAGACAGGATACTACTCTTAATATTTCTGCCATTTAAAAATATGAAAGAAATAAGAATAGTATGCTATTCAATAGTGGTCTTGGAGTTTCCCAACTGCACATTTTGTATGTGGCTCCATTGATACACTCAGTTCAGTTTATGAGCTCTCTACTAACGGGCAGATGAGCTGAAGTCTTACTGCTGGTTTGTTAAAACATATTTTAATAATACAGTCCCAACCATAAAAACATAATATGGCTCTTTCAAATAAACATTTTAAAATACTGCAGAAGCGGCAAACTTTAAAGTAAAACTTACAACCATTTCAAAAAAATAATTAAACAAAAAACACAGAAAAAGCAGCTACACAAACTACAAATGAAAAAGTAAAAATGGGCAAAATGCAGTGCGAGGTTCAAAACTGTAAATGGCACAAATAAAAAAGAACAACCATTTCCTTTTCAAGTAAGGTTCAGGTTGGATCAAAAAAGAAATGTATATACAGACTGACACGCTTATACATGATTGTATTGCGTATTAATGACATTGAACTCGACAATTGTGTCTAGTTTTAGATATATCTTAATCCAGAGTTTGTTAATCTAACTCTAAATAAAATTGAATCTAAATTGTAAAAAAAAAATACCTAGACAATCAGCTTCTAACATAAAAATAGTAAAAACAGGCTAAACAATGCAGTAGAGGTGCTCCTGTGCAAAGGTTAAAGGTCAGGTAAGGTATAAATAAATAATAGCCAAAAGCGCTGCTGTGTATTTACTAATGTGCTTCTTAATGTCCCTAAATAATAGCAAACAACATCACTGAAATAAAAGCATTGATACTTAATAAATAATCATAAAAGCATCTTAAACTAACAAGTCATCCATATTTATGAACTTCACTGCATATGCTAAATAAATGCTGCATATGCTAATTAAAAGTCAATTTGTTGATCCTTTCATTAATCTATTTGACTAAATGTTGATTTATAAAATAAATGCCTTGTTCATGCAGTGCTAACTGACTGCAGGCTTTAAATACTTAGTTAAAATGTAATTTAGCAGACATCTAAAAATCTAGTGTGTAGTCTAGCTGAGGACTTCAAATGATTTTAATCCAAGTATCAATGTTTTCTGTGTTCTTCATGTGTCATCTAGGACCCTGTATAGCAGCAGTATCTGTTGTTACTGTACATCCCAAATGAAAGGCCTCTCAGGTAGTGTATGGGTTTACCAGAAGAAGAAATGTGGGCTGATACCTGTGCAGGACAGGTGTTATGGGTTCAAATATAGCTGGTATATTCTGGAAAGACAGTCTCGGTGTATGCATCAGTGGATCTGCTGGTCAATGTTGTTCACGTGGGTCTGATTGTCATTGTCTGTGTAATAATGTCTGTAGATCCTCTGGCAAGGAGCTGATGATGGTCTGGATGGACTGCTCTAATCTCTCCAGGAGTTCTTCTTTAACTGGAAGCTGGTGTTTTCGAGCTCTTGTCTGGGTAGGACATATAGAAGAAGAGATAGAAGCTTCAGGCAAATGTTTTAACGTAAAACACAAATACTTCACTTTTATCCCCTTCATACTCAAAAAGTGGTTTAACTCACCAGTTTCTCCCGAAGCTTCAGGATGAGGTCAACAATCTCTACTTCTGATTTGTCTTTGGTCCATGTCAGCAGATCCTGAATTAATGAAAACAAAAATTAAATGAGCCATTAAAAGAGTAATTCAACATTTAAAATTACTGTTATTATTAACTCACCCTCATGTTGTTCTGAACTCGTAGGGTTTTCGTTCTTCTGTGGAACACAAAAGAAGGATTTTGAAGAAGTGTACTGGCCGCGCTTTTCCATGCAACTAAAAACAGACTGAAATTGAAGTCGTAATTCATTGAAAATCTTCAGGTCTTGATTTCTTTGGTGTGTTTATTAAAGTTCATGAGAGAAGTGGAGACGTTATTTAATCATTACTTTGCGTTCTTTTTAATAATTGGTTAATCCAGTTTAAAAAAAAAACATTATTGAATGATTCTTTAACAATAGGGGTTGCACCGACCGTCGACTAGTCGACTTCAATGCTCTGCCATCACGCTTTATGCTTGACGTCGACTAGTCGCTGGTCCTATAGAGGGCGCAACAGGATAAGAAATCTTTGAAGGACTTCCACATTTACGCTCCGTTTCCAAAGTTCAAATGACAAATAAATGCATACTCTGAAAGCGCTCCACAAGAC